ATATAACCTTCTGTCGTTTCTTTAGTATTAGTTTCTTCGGTTGGGTTGTGCAATAGCAGCCATGTGAGTAGTAATTGTCCGAGAGGGTATATAACTAGGTATAATTAGATTGTGTCGTACTTGCTGAGAAAAATCTCTCATGAATTCTAAATTTTTTAAACGACTGGTGGGGAGGTGTAAGATTAAATTCACGTTTGTGGATTTTTATAATTTCCAAAAATACAATTTGAACCCCGTTGCTACAACGCTGGCGAGTGGATTTATCCAGAAACACACTGCGGATCGGTTTTAAGTCTGAGATCGAATAGTACCGAATAAGACAGGTCGCGCCGATGCGAAATTGGAAGGACAAAGCTTTTATTTTCTCATACGACATCCGAAATTTACTGTTTTTTATAACCGATAGTTTAATGTGAAAAGACTAAAAGGTGAGCTTATTTTAAATATTATGGGTAATAATCGCTATTCATATGTATGTAACTTTCACGCACCCCAAGGTTGTGGGTACGATTTCTATTTAATTTTTCATTTAGTAGTATAATCATTCGACGTAATCAAGATGGCATTTATATTTTTTTATCCTGCCTATTTTTACAAGAAGGAATACCGTCAAGGTGCCATTTCGGTAGCCGCGTCAGGAGACAGGAGACCACTGAGGAGACCAGTAGGACGACAGATACATAAATGTTACGCTCCGTACATTTCGGAAGCTTGAAGAAGTGTCGCGCGACACTTGCAAATAACCATTCGAGGGAACGATCAGCGTTGCCAGACCTATTATTTTTACGTAGATCCAATGTTTTGTCTCTAGTAAATTTTGTTCTTAATTTATTAAGTTTGCCTTATTCTTCAGCAAATGGTTAAAGAATATTTTCTCTAGTAAATTTTCTGCAGCAAAAGTAGCGTAATAAGCATCCACTACTGTAGGTTGGCTCCATAAAAAAAAACATCAAGATAATCATTGTTTTTATTTAAAATGAAACAAAGAATTAATAGGGCATCATAAAAAGAACATGCATATGCCAAAGACTACGATTTTGAATTATCTGATTCAGACTGATCTAGAAGAAGTAGGTACTTATTATTTTTCATTGGTTTTTTCCCGTACGTTAAGTATATAATAAAAATGTTTTTATTTGTTTTTATTCTTTGTTTACTTTCTAATTTGGGTCGAAAAAAGTTTATTTGTCGTTTCTTATATACTTTTTTTTTATTTACTGCACTGCAAATTATAATTATTTCCCCCTGTATTAAAATCTAATGTCCATATCTACGTTTTTTTTTTACCCATGCTGTTCCAAAATCTGGCAACGCTGCCTAGATCGAAAGAAATTTCCAACCTCGAGTGCGACACTCCGAGGACAGTGACCCCGAGACAGATTCAGAAGTGTAGTCAGGAAGTGTCGTCTTGACAACACTTCTCGTGTCGCGCCGTGCGAAATGTGTTTCATATAATTGTATGTATTTTAGATGTGAAGCGACACTTCTCAGTCGCGTCGGCGGTCGTATGTCGCGTCGGTGGTCGTCTGTCGCGCCTACCGAAATGGTACCTTCATAAATCTCAAATTGAGATGTAAAATTGTTTAAGAAATGCTTTCGTGCTCATTATTTGTTAATAATCCTAGAATTTGTATAAAAATAGACAGGGAAAGGGGTTTTTATTAGCGTTCGAGATACTGGTTTTTTTTTGTAAAATAAAAAGTCTTGGTAGACAAAGAAACAAATAGAGAAGCCTGGCAAGGCGAATGTATGTCAAGGACATCGATGTAGGCTAGAATCAGCTGAGTTGCATAGTATTGTGATATCAATAGAGTGAGGGCCGAATTTGGATTTGAATTGCCACGAGGTGTAGCGATTCCCTTTTGCAACGTAGCGTTTATCTACCCGACACCATAGTAGTTTTTTCCTGTAGAACCCCTTCGTCTCCGAACCTAATTCATCAAGATGGCGGAGAGTAGCGAAATCGCAGTTTTAACGTCTGAGTTGAATAAGCTCAAGAAAAATGAATTAATTGATCTAATTTTAACATTTAAAATACCGATGTATGTGACTTGTGATATATTAGTGAAATATATATAAAAAAACTTATGGTCAGTGATAAACAACTAGTAAATAATGAAAAATTCCATGATAGTTACTCTAACCTCAATTATTGTGTTCAATGTGAAGAAAGTCTTAAAAAGTTAGACCAAATAAAATGTGAATTAGACACTATGAGTAAACTAACTTTTCACCAGGAAAAACGCACACAAGAACAGGCAGATTTAATTGCGTCATTAAAACAATTTAAAGATTTAAATTTTGAAACTAATAGTTTTGCAGCAAAAATTCAAATTCAACTTTAATATTAAATAGTTCTCATCGGGCTTAGTTTGGATTAACAGAGGACAACAAAAACAATTCTAAAGATAACAACCCACAAAAAAATTTCAATGAAGTTCTTAAAACAAATATACCAAAACAAAACATCAAAGAAAGCAGGTATGAAAGGTCAACAAACTCTGAGGACAAAAACAGAGGGAATTCCCTTTACAAAAAAGGATACAACAATAAAGCAATTATTGAAAGCAATGAAATACATCTATCAAGAATTGGAAATGAGACAAAAAGTGATGACGTTTTAATTTTTTTAAAGAAAAGTGCCCCAGACATTAACTTTTCATGTGAAGAATGGCATAGAAATGATAGGGTGTCCACATATAAAGTTTCGTTTCCGATGAACAAAATAAACCAAATTTACAATCCAGCTATTTGGCCCAAAGGAGCAGAATTTAGAAGATTTCAGTTTAGACAGAATTTTCAGAAGGACACACAAGTGACTGTAGATTCCACATCAACAAACAAAAATGATATTTTTGATAAATTTTATCTACATAGTATTTTACAATGTAAAAGATCGGTGAGTATATTTCATTTAAACGTGC